TAATATATATATATATATATATATATATATATATATATATATATAGAATACGAAGCTTTCATGCTAACTAGTGGAAAATGTAACATTAATTTTTGTGTCAAGTCTATAAAGTACAATTTGCACGCCTCTAAAGTGCTTATTGTTCATAGTCATGTGTATGGGAGAGATGGCAACTAAGAAAGATGAAGAACGTGTGACCAGTTTGTTCCGTGCAATTGGAAAGGTGTGGACAGCAGATGAAAAGTATTTTGATGCTGTAACTGGCTTGAGGTACACTTCTTGTCTTATACTGAATTTTGAACTTGACTAATTTGTTATACACTAGCTTATTGGGAATTTTTAGTGTTCATTTATTTGTATAGAGCAATTAATATGAAATTATATATTTTTCTTCGTTTTAGTCCTTGGGAAATGCTTTCTATTAACAAATGTGCCGTCTAATTTTAGTGGTAGTGGCCCAGCATACATATATCTTGCAATAGAGGCCTTGGCTGACGGTGGAGTGGCTGCTGGTCTGCCTCGTGATCTTGCTCTTGGTCTGGCATCTCAGACAGTACGTGCAAATTGCTTTATAAAGTCTTTTACCCTTTTAATATGTTCCAAACGGGATTTGCTAAAACATTTCTGTCACTAATGCCTAGTCAAATATCTATAGATTTTTTTTTTGGACAAAGGGTAAGTGGTGAATGTAGGATTTGAGCTCAGGACCTTACAATATTTTGTCAAACTTTTTATTAGCTAAACTAGTCGGCACCCTCAATACCTATAGATCTTTTGATAACAATAGAATAATTTCGTGTTGCACCACATGAAGACTTGTGATTCTTTGGAGGATCATCAAAATTTTGCAACAAACAGTACTAATTTACCTAACACTTAACACTAGCGAATTAGGTTTTATTTTGTTATTAATGTTACATTATGTCAATCAAGGATTACAAAACAAAATGATACCGCCTGGTACTAGTTTGCCAGCAGATCGGTAAGCGAACCTCTTACTAACGGACGGTATCATTGATCTAGCCCCGTATCGTCCGATACGGGGCTGTATCGGGCGGTAATGATCAATATTTCAACTATTACTGCTTAAAATAGGTCGGTAACGATCGATTTCGACCCTCGCCGCTTGGTACTGGGCGGTATCGGCCTGGCTATGGCGAGAGAAGAAGCGTCGAGGGAGAAGGCACTCGAAGAAGAGGTAGAAGAAGAGAGAGAATCGAGAGAACCTAGATGCTTCTCGATTTGATGCTACCCTCCCTCAACGATCCCGATCCAGGAGGTAACGAAGAGGCTACGACTCGACTTATTCTTTGCCATATTTTTTGCCAAAGGCCAAAGACGTCTACGACCTTCAATGTCTTTGCCGAACACCGCAGATGAGAAGACCGCGCTCTTCTCCGACGTCGCCGAGGCAACATATGCCTCCTTTTATATATATATATATATATATATATATATATATATATATATATATATATATATATATATATATATATATAC